GTGTGTGTGTGTGTGTGTGTGTGTGTGCGTGTGTGTGTGTGTGTGTCCTCATTACTTCTCCTACATTAACTGAAACCCGACTGAGAATCTGCATCAGCTGATTTACATCACACCCTCTCAGCCAATCAGAGATCAGGATACTGTCCTGATGTTTATCCCCTCTGGCTCCTTTCAACTTGTTTCCTTGTTTCCTTATCTTTCCCTTTTCTTTAAAATTTCCAGGCTCTTGTTTCCTCTCCTCTGAGCTTCCTCACTGTTGTGTTTCATCTCTTCGTCTCCTACCTCCTTGTTTCCTCTCCTGTTTGCTCCCCTCTTGTCTCCTCCCTTCCTCTCCTTCCTCACTTCACTAACCGACTCCTTAACTGCCTGTCAGGAGGACGTTTTCCCTCCGCTTGTCTGTCTAAACAGATTTCCCAGAATACCGCTGGGCGTCTGCGGGGGTCTCTCATAGTGCGTGCTGACCTGCTAATCATGTGAACGAGGTGACAGAGTCTGTGTGTGTGTCTGTGTGTGTGTGTGTGTGTGTGTGTGTGTGTGTGTGTGTGTGTGTGTGTGTGTGTGTGTGTTAGTGTGTGTGTGTTAGTGTGTGTGTGTTTGATGGACACACACCCGCTGTGTTTCTGCTCACTGATTATCCGGACTGACGGACACATTCACCTCAAGCCGTGCGTTTGATTGGCCGGCCCACAGCGAGGCGTTTTATTGGTCGGCTCCTCGGCACGGAGTTGGGAGTGACGCAGGAACCCCCCCCCCCCGCTACAGATGTGACATTTGAATCCATTTCAAACTTTATGGTAATTATCTCAGACAGAAATAAGAAAAACAGAGAATAAGAAAAAAAGTGAGTTTCAGAGCCCGAACCAGCTGAGTCTAGGTGTTAAAGGTGTTACAAGTGTTACAGGTGTTACAGGTGTTACATGTGTTACAGGTGTTACATGTGTTACATGTATTACAGATGTTACAGATGTTACAAGTGTTAAAGGTGTTACAGGTGTTACAGGTGTTAAAGGTGTTACAGGTGTTAAAGGTGTTACAGACATTACAGGTGTTACAGGTGTTAGGTGTTACATGTGTTACAGGTGTTAAATGTGTTACAGGTGTTAGGTGTTACATGTGTTACAGGTGTTTCAGATGTTACAAGTGTTAAAGGTGTTAAATGTGTTACAGGTGTTACATGTGTTACAGGTGTTACATTTGTTACAGGTGTTAAAGGTGTTACAGACATTACTGGTGTTACAGGTGTTAGGTGTTACAGGTGTTAGGTGTTAGGTGCTAGGTACAGACATTACTGGTGTTACAGGGTGTTAGTGTTTACAGGTGTGTGTTAGGTGCTAGGTATTACATGTTTACATGTTTACAGTGTTAAAGGTGTTAACAGGTGTTAAATGTGTTACAATTGTTACATGTGTTACAGGTGTTAAAGGTGTTACAGACATTACAGGAATTACAGGTGTTAAAGGTGTTAAATGTGTTACAGGTGTTACAGGTGTTTCAGATGTTACATGTGTTACAGGTGTTAAATGTGTTACAATTGTTACATGTGTTACAGGTGTTAAAGGTGTTACAGACATTACAGGAATTACAGGTGTTAAAGGTGTTAAATGTGTTACAGGTGTTACAGGTGTTTCAGATGTTACATGTGTTACAGGTGTTAAAGGTGTTACATGTGTTACAGGTGTTACAGACATTACAGGTGTTAAAGGTGTTAAATGTGTTACAATTGTTACATGTGTTACAGGTGTTAAAGGTGTTACAGACATTACAGGAATTACAGGTGTTAAAGGTGTTAAATGTGTTACAGGTGTTACAGGTGTTTCAGATGTTACATGTGTTACAGTGTTAATACATGTGTTACAGGTGTTATTAAGTGTTAATGTGGTGTTACAGACATTACAGTGTTAAAGGTGTTAAATGTGTTACAATTGTTACATGTGTTACAGGTGTTAAAGGTGTTACAGGTGTTAAAGGTGACATTACAGGTGTTACAGGTGTTAAAGGTGTTAAATGTGTTACAGGTGTTACAGGTGTTTCAGATGTTACATGTGTTACAGGTGTTACAGACATTACAGGTGTTAGGTGTTACAGGTGTTAGGTGTTACATGTGTTACAGGTGTTTCAGATGTTAAAGGTGTTAAAGATGTTAAATGTGTTACAGGTGTTACAGGTGTTACAGGTGTTAAAGGTGTTACATGTGTTACAGGTGTTACAGGTGTTACAGATGTTACAAGTGTTAAAGGTGTTACAGACATTACAGGTGTTAGGTGTTACAGGTGTTAGGTGTTACATGTGTTACAGGTGTTTCAGATGTTAAAGGTGTTAAAGATGTTAAATGTGTTACAGGTGTTACAGGTGTTACAGGTGTTAAAGGTGTTACATGTGTTACAGGTGTTACAGGTGTTACAGATGTTACAAGTGTTAAAGGTGTTACAGACATTACAGGTGTTAGGTGTTACAGGTGCTAGGTGTTACATGTGTTAACGGTGTTTCAGATGTTAAAGGTGTTAAAGGTGTTAAATGTGTTACAGTGTTAGGTGTTACATGTGTTACAGGTGTTAGATGTTACACAGTGTTAAAGGTGTTAAATGTGTTACAGGTGTTACATGTGTTACAGGTGTTACATTTGTTACAGGTGTTAAAGGTGTTACAGACATTACAGGTGTTACAGGTGTTAGGTGTAGGTGTTACATGTGTTACAGGTGTTCAGATGTTACAAGTGTTAAAGGTGTTAAATGTGTTACAATTGTTACATGTGTTACAGGTGTTAAAGGTGTTACAGGTGTTAAAGGTGACATTACAGGTGTTACAGGTGTTAAAGGTGTTAAATGTGTTACAGGTGTTACAGGTGTTTCAGATGTTACATGTGTTACAGGTGTTACAGACATTACAGGTGTTAGGTGTTAGGTGTTACATCTGTTACAGGTGTTAAATGTGTTACATGTGTTACAGGTGTTAAATGTGTTACAGGTGTTACATGTGTTACAGGTGTTAAATGTGTTACATGTGTTACAGGTGTTAAAGGTGTTAAATGTGTTACAGGTGTCACAGACATTACAGGTGTTACAGGTGTTAAAGGTGTTAAATGTGTTACAGGTGTTAGGTGTTACATGTGTTACAGGTGTTACAGACATTACAGGTGTTACAGGTGTTAAGGTGTTAATGTGTTACAGGTGTTACAGGTGTTTCAGATGTTAAAGGTGTTCCAGGTGTTACATGTGTTACAGGTGTTAATGGTGTTAAATGTGTTACAGGTGTCACAGATTACAGGTGTTAGGTGTTACATGTGTTACAGGTGTTTCAGATGTTAAAGGTGTTAAAGGTGTTAAATGTGTTACAGGTGTTAGGTGTTACATGTGTTACAGGTGTTACAGACATTACAGGTGTTACAGGTGTTAAATGTGTTAAATGTGTTACAGGTGTTACAGGTGTTTCAGATGTTAAAGGTGTTACAGGTGTTACATGTGTTACAGGTGTTAATGGTGTTAAATGTGTTACAGGTGTCACAGACATTACAGGTGTTAGGTGTTACATGTGTTACAGGTGTTCAGATGTTAAAGGTGTTAAATGTGTTACAGGTGTTAGGTGTTACATGTGTTACAGGTGTTACAGACATTACAGGTGTTACAGGTGTTAAATGTGTTAAATGTGTTACAGGTGTTACAGGTGTTTCAGATGTTAAAGGTGTTCCAGGTGTTACATGTGTTACAGGTGTTAATGGTGTTAAATGTGTTACAGGTGTCACAGACATTACAGGTGTTAGGTGTTACATGTGTTACAGGTGTTTCAGATGTTAAAGGTGTTAAAGGTGTTAAATGTGTTACAGGTGTTCCAGGTATTAAAGGTGTTACAGACATTACAGGGGTTACAGGTGTTATTATTTCCGACGCTGTCAGATAGATTTCTTTCTTTAGTCATGAGACCGTAACACCATCTTTGATCGTCTCTCGACGTAACGATGGACGTCCTCACTAAAAGTTCAAACCTGGATTATTTCACCTGTTTTTAACGTTTTCCTCTTTCTCGTCTGATTGACCTGATTCTGATCTTTGGACGATCACTTCCTGCCTGGCTGCACCTCGTCCAGCTCGGACCTGAACCCGCTGACAGGAGATTCATCCATCATCACCATGGCAACGCAGAGAGACTGTGACCAAGCAGCTGACGGAGTGAGATAACACACACACACACACACGCGCGCACACGCGCACACACGCACACACACACACACACACACACACACACACACACACCTGTTACTCCTGATAACACTTTAATCTCTTTTCAGTGATTTCCTGGTGAAGCTGTTTTCGTTCTTTGTCTTTATTTTGTTTTTAATTAAAGTGAATTCATAAAACAGGTGAACGTGTCGGAGCTGCACTCAGCGTCTCACTCTCATTATTTACTTTGTCTATTTGTTTGTCGTTTTTTTCAAATGTTTTTGTTTTTAATAAATTATTTAAAAGTAGAAATAATGAGTTTGATGAACTCTAACTTCTCCGCTGATCTCGGGTCTGTTTGACTCTAAACGGGACCATTCAGATTTATATTGTCATCAGTATGTGCAACCAATCCCGTGGCCTTATTTTGACAGTGGGCGGGGCCAAAGATAAGTAATCTTAAAAGTACTTTAAAGGCACGTCAATGTGACCACACACACACACACACTCAGCTGTGTTTAATGTGTTGAGTCAATGTTTGCCCTCTCTCTCTCTGAGCTCCATTAAAGGTTAATTAGACTCGACCCTCTCTCTCTGTTCAAACACTGAAATCTGCTGCTGTTTCCACTCTCACTCGTCACTCCCAGTTCTCCCAGTTCTCCCAGTTCTCCCAGTTCCCCCCCCCCCATCCTGCATGCACGGGTCTCCTCTGGACAGCAAAGTTGTTTTAGGCAATAACAAGAAGAGTCTGAGTGAAGTGTGACTCTCTCTGATGCTAAATGTGACATAAGGAGCGTAAGTGAGACTTCCAACTGAGGAAATGTTTCCTGTATTTTAAATAGGGCTGTGGTACAGTGGTTAGCTCTGTTCCCTCACAGTGTGGAGTTCCTGGTTTGAATCCCTGTCTGTCAGGAGTCTCTCTGTGAGGAGGTTCCTGGTTTGAATCCCCGTCCTTCAGGAGTCTCTCTGTGAGGAGTCTGCATGTTCTCCTCGTTCATGTGTGGGTTCTCTCCTGGTTCTCCGTCTTTCTCCCACAGTCCAAAGACATGCTCGTTAGGTTAACTGCTGACTCTACATTCCCCGTAGGTGTGAATGTGAGTGTGTCTGGTTGTCTGTCTCTGTATGTCAGCTCTGTGATTGGCTGGTGAACAGTCCAGGGTGTAACCCCGCCTCTCGCCCAATGACAGCTGGGATCGGGATTTAAATGATGATTTCAGATTTAGCAGATTCTCATTTTAAGTAAAGAGTTTTCTTTATATGATATTTCTCACATCATGTCTGAACAAACACTAACACACTTGCTGTCGCTTTTTTGCATATAAATCTGTATATTTTTTTTAAACATGTCTATTGCTGCTATATAACTCGTGTTTTCCATTTTCTGTATCTGTGTGCTGTTCTATCCTTTGGTGCTACCTGCTGCTGGAATTTGAATTTCCCTGAGGGAACCTTTCCAAGGGATTAATAAAGTTCCTATCTTAGCTTAGACCGATGTTACGGTCTAAGTCAGTGACACCCAAGATGAGGATTTTTCAGTGATATTTATGGTCTTGGTCTGGTCTCGATCTGTTAGTTTGATCTTCACTTCAACACTACTAATATCCGACGGCGCTGAGCCCAATAAACGTTTTCTCCACAAGTCAGAGCTCAACATTTAAATTCCGGATATGGATAATAATAATTCACCACTTCCTCCTCTTTGTAAAACAAACTAACGAGCTTCGATGAGTGAAAATAGAGAATGAAAATAAAGGACAGTTTCCCCGTCAGAGGCTCCCGGCCCCGTGTTGATCCGCCTCGTTCCTCGTCCTCGTCCGCACCAGTGACAGGAATAAAAATAATCTACATGTTTGATGTTTCAACAGACTGGAGGCGGAGCCAGAAGCTTAAATGATTTCTCTCTTTAATGGATAATTACATTAATTATTCAGGTACACGACAGCCAGACAGCTGCTGATTGGTCGGTCCAGACGCACAGGTGAAGGGCAGGTGATCTGGGATTGGTCAGTTGGTCCAGTGAAGGAGTGACCCAAGCTAGGAAACAAAAATAAAGATGGTTAGACATAAGTCACATGGGCAGGGCTGAAACAGACTGTCAGGTGTGGGCGGGGCTTAAAAGGCAGGTAACTTGGTTAGGTTTAAAACAGGAAGTAAGATGTCCAAACTGGGCTATAAGAGGAAGTGAGGTACCTGGGTGGGCGGGGCTTTAGCAGGTGGTGAAGCCCTTCCAGTAGAAGTTCTTGCAGCCAGCTTTGCGTTCGCGGGGGGGCAGGTTGTTGGGGGGATCGACTGACCTCTCCAGGTTCATCTTTCCTCCTGTTGCCGTGGAGACGACCTCAGCCTCTCGCTGGGCCTCTGGCAGAGACATCTGAGCCAGCAGGTCCTCGACTGCACGTTTGCTCCATTCCTGAAAAACAAATTGGAGTTCAAAGTTTTAACATTTTGATACCGATCGATTTAGACAGTTTCACCTCCTCTGCTCTGTGTATTTCTAAGAGACATCAACGTAACATATAAATGAACCACTGCTGCTCTCTCTCGTTCTCCCTCGATGACCGTTGGTACTGTTTGTTACTATCGATCATTTTTAAACACTTAAACACTTTAAACACAACCTTACCCCTCACAACTTGAATATTTAGTTGTTGTTTTTTTAAAATCGATCTTACATTCTCAACTCCCCCAAAAGAGTGAACCTGAAGTCCTTAAAGTGCAAAGACAACACGTGAAAACCTAACTGACAGAGCTCATGCAAAATAAAAATGTTTGTGGTAGATGAAACCAAAGTGCACGATATCTCTAAAAGTAAGACGCAGCCTGGGTGTGTGACTCGAGTTATTCCAAGAGATGTTTTGTCCATGAGAAGGCGACCTGAAAACAAGGCTCAGTTTGAAGATTTGGAGACAATAAATGGAGCCAGAGCAGACGTAGGAGCTTCACACAGCAGCAGTGTAAATACTGCAGGCTTCATTTTATCGTCAGTGGGTGTCTCTCAGCAGGTGGTCCATACAAACATTATGTGATCGTTCAGGCGGAAACAACAGTGTGAGCTCATCCTCGCAGCTAATCTGCTGCTGCCCCCCCCCACCCCCTCCTCCTCCCCCTCCTCCTCCGCCTCCTCCGCTGTCGTCATGCTGCTGTTCATGAATTTTAAATGTTTTTAATATGTGTATCACCAGCTCTGGTCCAAGCTCAGGGACCAACAGGAGCAGCAGCATGGCGCTGAAATAAAACGAGCACTGTTTGAAACAAATGAAGAAAGTTGTTCTTGTTACATAATCAACACGAGTCAGAAAGAAAAAAATCATGATGTGAAGAGATTCCTGTCCGTCTGAAGACTGAAATCTTTCTTTGTACGAGTCAATAATGTTTTTCAGCTTTTAAAAGGCAGACATGAGATATGAAAGTACAGAAAGCAAAACGATGGTGGTGGAGTACCTCAGGGTTCGATTCTCGGTCCTCTAACTTTAATTCTGTTAAAAGTGGAACTGAGGGGGAAAAGATTACCAAAAGCTTTAACCCTTTCACAACATACTGAAACAATAAGGCAGGAGCAGGAAGTTGTTCTGTTTACAGTTTCTGAAACAATTTTAGATTCTTGAAATGCTGTTGTTTTATAAGAGGGGATGGTATCCAGATAAGTCTTAGTTGATGTTTGTTTGAATGTCTCCTCTTTTAAACCTTGATAGGTATTGTTAAGTGTTGTTTGTGTCTTTGGAACGATGACTCTCCTGTCTGCACAACACATTTACCTTTAAAGCTACCAATGAAGAAACCTTGAACTTTGAACCTTTTCAGTAAACATGGTTAGTGAACACTTCACAACAGTCTTTCTAAGATCAAAAGGAATCAAAAATTTAAATTTTTACACCATGAAGCTGATTGAAGGAGCGACTCTACGGCTTTGATTCCCTTTAACAGCTAATCCACAAAGGGAATGATTAAGTGTTTAAAGACCTCTCACCAGTTAAATAAAAAAAGACTTTTGAAGACCTCTAAATGATCTGCATGAACCCTGGTAAAAATGGAGTTCTGATTGGATGTCGGCGCGCTCACCTGTGACAGGAGCCCAGCGCCGCGAGCTCTTTGCAGCAGCCGATGGTGTCGCAGCTCAAGCTCCAGGTCCTGGTTCTGGTCCTGGTACTGGTCCTGGTCTGCTTCGAGCTGAGAGGAAACGCCGGGGCTGCACAGAACCATCGCTACAACAACCAAGATGGCGGGACAACGCACACACTGCATACCTGCCAGAACATCAGGAGGAGAAGATGAGATACGCTGAAAAATAAAGAGGGAAGAAATCAAGAGAAAGAGGAGGAGAAAGTTCATACTGTCTGCTGGTCGGGGATCTTCTGCTCCTGCTACTGCTTCTGGTTCTGGTTCTGGTTTGGTCTCTGGTCCTGGTCCTCTCACTGCAGCTCTTTTTGAAGCCTGACGCCCCGCCTCCTGCAGGTCACATGACGCGGCGTGTTTGATAGACAGCTGGAGGGCTGCAGAGTGATGAAGGAATGCGGGGCCTGGAGTTAAACAAACCTGCATTAGTCCTTATTGACTTTAAATGGAGTCTGAACAATAAAACAATCAAACTGTGAGCAGCGGCGGCGTCGTGCAGCCGCCGGCGCTCGTCTTCAGCAAATACAACGGCGGAATGTCCGGCTGAAGAGCGGGGGGAATTAACGGAGCGTTCAGAGGATTAGCAGACTTCATTAGCACTCGCTGATATCTCCATTAAACAAAGAGGCAGAAGCAGCGGAGAGCCGCCCACTCCACATTTAGTGAGAACAAACACTTTGAGTGAGCAGGAAAACACTTTGAGTCGGTTTGAAATGTTCTGCAGACACGATGAGACATCAGGAAACCCCGACACTCACACACGACTCGCAGCAGAAACACTGCAGTCCAAAGTTCTGTGAAGAGTCTTCTTCAGTCGGTCACAGCGATTGTTTAAATGTTCTACTTTATTTTGACATGTTAGTGTTGTGGGTGAGGACGTGGTTAGGACTGTAGTTCAGGTGTTGTTCAGGTGATGTCGGTCAGAACACCAGTGAAGCAGTTTCTCCTTTATTCCAACATGTTGAAATACAGCCAAGTTGGTACAGTAGCTGGGCATAGGTATCTGTTAGGATGTAAGAATATCTGTGTGTGTGTGTGTGTGTGTGTGTGTGTGTGTGATATGGGTATTAGTGTGGTCTGCAAAACAATAAAGGCAGAGATTAAATGTAAATTAATAAATAAAGTGTACATTTCCCCGTTGTGGGATAAATAAAGGATTATCTTGCACACAATGCACAAAAATAACTTTTCACTTTTTATTAGTATTTTTTATTGTATTTTACCTTGTGAAGTATGGAAGCTATCTGATGAAGTGTGTGGTGTGGTGTCTGTTTTGAAGCTGTAGTTTCCTGTGAAGGATTATTAAAGGGTCTATCTTATCTTATTAAACACTGTTTCTGGATTCATGTTCACCAATATCCTGTTGCTAATACAAAGTGAGCACTTTAAGTCACAGGACACACTATGATAAGCAATCAGTAAATGTACACACATAAGCCATGTTAGCTAAACATATAGCATAACAGTTAGCCATGTGACAGCGAGCAAGCTAATCGCTAAGCTAATCGTTAGCGCGCTAATGCTAACATGCTAATATCACTTCTACTTCTGAACATAAAACATCAACTGAATCATAACTGAATCATTTACTTCCAGTACTTACAAGGTTCTCATGGACACACACAATAAAGCCCTCAACACAACAGGTGACTCAGGCAGAGCAGTTAACTCTCTAACTGAACTACATGAGGTGAGTACAGCTGCACATGGTGGAAGGGGCGGGGCTATGACGTCATCACCCAGAGATTTGGCTCTAGAGAAGGCCTGGGTCAGATGTCACACACATTAACACACATGAGGTCAAGGGTCACCATCCTCGTTGCCTAGGTTACGCCACACTGCCACTAAACAAAGACTCAGATTCCCAGAATTCACTTTTTAGTGGAATAAGACGTAAACTAAAACAAAGACAGGAGCTTTTGGGAAAGCTCAGGGTGAAGCCGTGGAGGAGAATACGAGTTGAAGGGGAATGTTTAATCTGTGAGACTCACAAGAAACGCCTGAGTCTGAGTGTGTGATCTGTGGGTTAGGGTTCTTCATCTTCTCTTCGTCTTCTCTTCATCTTCTCTTCATCTTCTCTTCGTCTTCTCTTCATTGTCTCTTCATCGTCTCTTCATCGTCTCTTCGTCTTCTCTTCGTCTTCTCTTCATCGTCTCTTCGTCTTCTCTTCATCGTCTCTTCATCGTCTCTTCGTCTTCTCTTCGTCTTCTCTTCGTCTTCTCTTCGTCGTCTCTTCATCGTCTCTTCGTCGTCTCTTCGTCTTCTCTTCGTCTTCTCTTCATCGTCTCTTCATCTTCTCTTCATCTTCTCTTCATCTTCTCTTCATCGTCTCTTCATCGTCTCTTCATCTTCTCTTCATCGTCTCTTCATCTTCTCTTCATCGTCTCTTCATCGTCTCTTCGTCTTCTCTTCGTCTTCTCTTCATCGTCTCTTCATCTTCTCTTCATCGTCTCTTCATCTTCTCTTCATCGTCTCTTCATCTTCTCTTCATCTTCTCTTCATCTTCTCTTCATCTTCTCTTCATCGTCTCTTCGTCTTCTCTTCATCTTCTCTTCATTGTCTCTTCATCGTCTCTTCATCTCTTCATCGTCTCTTCATCGTCTCTTCATCTTCTCTTCATCGTCTCTTCATCTTCTCTTCATCTCTTCGTCATCTCTTCGTCTTCTCTTCATCTTCTCTTCATCGTCTCTTCATCGTCTCTTCATCTCTTCATCGTCTCTTCGTCTTCTCTTCGTCTTCTCTTCGTCGTCTCTTCGTCTTCTCTTCGTCTTCTCTTCGTCTTCTCTTCGTCTCTTCATCGTCTCTTCATCGTCTCTTCATCTTCTCTTCATCTTCTCTTCATCTTCTCTTCATCTCTTCGTCATCTCTTCGTCTTCTCTTCGTCTTCTCTTCGTCTTCTCTTCATCGTCTCTTCATCGTCTCTTCATCTTCTCTTCATCGTCTCTTCATCTTCTCTTCATCTTCTCTTCATCGTCTCTTCATCTTCTCTGTTCTGTCTCATGTTTTGAGGTCATCAGAAATTTGGGAGTCGCAGTTTCTCATTAAGGAATCGGTGGAGGGCCCTGAGGGTAGACCAGTTAAGAACAACAAGTGTTATGTTTGTATTTCTTCATTAAAGAGATTGTTTGTCATTTCAGTTGATCATATCACTAATGATGCATAAAGCTTATGTTCATGATTGTTTCAGTCGGAGGTTTTATCGGCTCGCTGTGACTGATTCAATCACTTCTCTTGAGAGACCCAGGTGGCCTGCTGAGTAGCTCGGTCTGTAGGGTCTTTGTTTTGGAACTCGAGGGTCGCAGGTTCAAGTCCTGGTGCCGATCAAAGTATGGAAACTGATCTGGTGGCTCGGGAGAGGCACTCTGACATCACGTCTGCAGGTCCTGTTTGTTCATGTGTGTGTTTTAAGTCCTGTGTCTGAGAGAATCATGTAGAGTCTCCTTTAACGTCTGCTGTGATCGTCTGAGAGGAGAAACAAACACACCTGAGCCTCCTGAAAATCAACCAGGTGACCTCAATCTGCCTCACCTGTGCTCCTTTTACCATCTACTAAAAAATCGATACACTATAGTACCGCGATATTTTGTGTGGCGGTATTATGGCGGCCAAGTATCGATATTTATGGTATAATATATTAGAAATGCTTTTTAAAAGGCTGAAGGCGTTCATTTTGAACATGTTGCATTGTTAATTATCATGTTTAAGTTCAATTAGACTGAAATACAAATACAAAAAACTGAAGTGAGATGAACAGAATGAGGATTTTATCAGATTTGAAAAAACAGTTCTTGATTTAGTTCAGTGTAGTGGACATAATGTGCAGGTAAAAAGCTTAATCGCAATATATTGTATCGCAATTCTCAGCATATTGCAAAATGATTGCAATAGAATGGTATCGTGTCTCGAGTATCAGGATAATATCGTATCGTGGGGACTCGGTGATTCCCACTCCTGCCATCTACAGTTCGTTTGCTCTGGTCTGAATCACAGACCAACTAGTTCCAATGGCGATAATAAATAAGGCTGTCAGCATTAACGAGTTAATCACATTAATCTCATGTTATTTTGTCACTGTTACGTGCCGTAGTTTTGTGTTTTGTGTGTGTTTTCTCTCTCTCCTGTGTGTGTGCTCCCCAGGTGTTGCTCCTCAGCCTCAGAGTGCCCAGCCACACCTGTGGCTAACTACTAATCAGGAGCGAACTATAAAGAGCAGGAGAGAGGAAGCTGCCAGCTGCTTGTGGGTCGTTGGACTGTGTGTGTCTTTGACTAGAAATTTAGTGTGATCCTTCTGTGGAAGGATTGTGTTCTGATTAAGGCCTCATTGTTTATAGCTTGATTGTTAGTTTGGTATTGTGTTTAAGATTGATTGGCTTGTCTTTTGTTTTGGTGTTTTTTAGAATCATTCAATGAATCATTTTAAAATTTGCTTATATTTAGTTCCTATTTCTTTTCCCTGGGTTTTAATTTCTTGTTACTCCCCTCATCCTGTAGCCATCTTGGGGAACATAACAGTCCCTTCAGGCTCTCCGTAGATAGTGGTCCTCAGTGTCTCCCTGTAGTCTCACTGATGATAAAGAAGAACACTGCTGCATCTTTCAATGTCTCATTTCACTTTAACAAACTCTCAGACAGTAATATCCACCTGATGACATCACACATTGACCTGGTGACATCACACATTGACCTGGTGACATCACACATTGATCTTTGTTACTGTTCCTTGAGCTGTTTGACCTCACTTTGGGATACCTAACCACTTCCTGTTTCTGTGCTCAACTTCCTGTCCTAACCTTCCATCTATGGAAGGGCCTTACTTTATTTCAAAATAAAAGCACACAGCAAGTAAAGTACTCTGAGCTTAAGACGAGACGAACACTGAAAATAAAAGCCTAACAGTTTGATCTTTCAATGCAAAAAAAAAAGAATTTCAACAATGTGATTAATGGCGATGTGAAATGTAATCGTTTGACAGCTCTAATAAAGATTCAGGTTCATTCTTCAAGCTGCTCAGTGGAGCATGAAGCAATGAAGTCAGACTTCGGGGTGTGAAAGTACCCCGATCTCTGCATTACTGGTCTCATAGAGCAATGCTCTCTGTGAGTCTCATTCCCGCGGCTCTGATCTGTGTTCATTATGTCACAAATGTCTGAATTCAGTTTTAACTGCATTTTCAACTTTTGGGACCTCATGATTATTTAAGTGTTCATATCGTGAAGTTGATGAAGAATCCTCTGATGTACAGACGTCTCTTTCTGAAGTTAAGCATAAGGTACAGACACCAGAAAGGCCTCTACAGTCGGTGCACCTCGTGGGGACTTGGACTTGAATGGGTGTGAATCTGACTTCTGGGGCTTTGGCGGCCAGCCTCAAGTGGCCACTCCAGGAACTGCAGTTTCTTACACTTCGTTATTGACTGCGTCTTTCAACTCGGGAGATTTCTGCTTGTTGTAAACACATTTAAAATGATTAAATAAAGTCGTATCCTCCCCGTCTGAGGTGAAGGAGGGTCGAGCGATTTAACCTTCAGGTGGCGCTCTTCTTCCTTTGAACTGAACGTTTGAGGTAAAAGTTTAAAAAAAAAGTTGAGGACATTGGTCTTCATCACTTTCTTCCAGGTGCTAATAATCAAGACATTACTCCGGCTGGTTGCTGTGGTTACACATTAACAGTGAGCAGTCGTTGCCGTGGAGCTGCTGGAATGGGCAAACACACACAAACTGGTGTGAGGGGGGCATGATGGGAAAGTGATGACATCACTCTTCCTCCTTGTGAGGCGTACAGTTTTTGTTTCCACGCTGAGTCACTGAGTGAAGTCACAAACAGGAAATCACTTTAATGTCTTCATTTGGACTGAAGGTGAGTTTCAACTCGGCTGGAAATGTTCCGCTGCTTCATCGTGTGAATGGATTAGAAACCTCTGATGGTCATTTTACCCAGCAGCCTCTACCATCAGGGTGTGGATGTGTGGGTGTGACCTGCAGTGTAAAAGAGCTTTGAGGAGTCAGAAGACTAGAGAAGAAATATAAAAACTCAAGTGCACTTTTTTCAACACAGGAGGTCATCGCTCACTTTAAAAGCAAAAGCTCAGTTTTGTACTTTAGTATATTTAATTTGGGGAATAAAAGTATTTACATAAATTCAATCAAACGACAGAAGAAGCTCAGAATGTCCTCCAGCCAATTCAAATAATCGAATATCTGAACATCGATTAAAAACAGGACTAACAGATACTGATAATACGTTTCAAAACGCGCTTCATAAAAACATTTTCTGTTTGTTTCATAACAGACAGAAAAACACAGACAGTGTTTTATGTAAAACATGTTTTTATTCTACTAAACAAGAATCCTATTCACAGAAAACACAATATGTCGTGTGAATGAAGTTCAACAGGGTCCGAATATTTACACCAGAGAAGTCACGAGCGTCTCAAACCTTTTAAAGTTTCATGTTGTCTGACACTGTAAACTCTGATTAATGTCACCATTTACACAGAATATAAAGAAAAAAAAGGTCCAAATCAACTACAAGACCCAGAGTGCATTGCTGTGAAATCCTCCACTTACAGAGCTCTCAAAGTTGCCACTTTCTTTTCACTTTAAGTTCTCTCATAGCTCTATCTGGTGGCCATCAGAGGAACTGCAACTTCTTCTTCTTTTTTTTTTCTCTTTCTTTTTGGTGCTTTGGCTCTGCCCTCATGTGGCGGCAGCAGGTACTGCAGCTCCAGTGTTAGTCT